TTTCCCTTTACATCTGTGAATCCCTCTTCTTTCCCCCCCCCCCTCTCGAATTTTTCTCACTATGATGTCCCCCCCCCTGTGAAGTCCGAGGTCAGCTAAAGGGCTAATGATGACTATCAATATGCCTGCCATTTGAAATAAATATATAAATATTGCCATATAAGTGTCCTATCTATACATGCTTCAAATCAAAATCAGATCCACATCAATCATTAAAATATCTCGGCCAAGAACGATTAGGACAATGAGGGGACGGAGTTGGGTGTATGTTTACCTCAAGTGTTAAGGCTTGTGTATACACTGTGCGGTGAAGTGATGACTCATGTAATTTATATCATGGAAGCTACCGGCGCGTTACGTCCGTTGAATCAACCGATAAAGTCTCTCCAACCGCAATGCAAAATTGTTGCGGTAAAATATGATATCCAGTTGTCTAACCTTATCAATGTCGCTCTCGCAATTTTGTGGAATAAAAGAAAAAAGAAATTCATGCCGATTTAAAGAGGCTATAGTTAATACTTAAGGTAAAGGAATAGTTATAAGAGTAGCAGACTTGAAATTCTTATCAACATAATAAGGAACACTCTCTCGAATTTTCTCACTATGATGTCCTCCCCCCCCCCTGTGAAGTCCGAAGTCAGCTAAAGGGTTAATGATGATAATTAATATGCCTGCCCCATTTGAAATAAATATATAAATATTGCCATACAAGTGTCCTATCTATACATGCTTCAAATCGAAATCAGATCCACATCAATCATTAAAATATCTCGGCCAAGAACGATCAGGACAATGAGGATTAAGAAAGAATGATCTCCTAACAATTATTCACAAAAATAGAAGTTTAATTGAAAAGCTTTCGTAATAAAGACCACACAATATCCAATATTACATCGGAACCACAAGCATATTAATGTAAAAGATATGTGCTTTACGGTCTCACCTGCTGATTCATAAGATCAATGACTTCATCAGGATGACATCTTCCGATCTCCGTGACAACAGCGGCTGTGACATTAACAGAAGGTTTATCACTGACTGGTGTTATATTGGTCGAATTCTTCCTTGCCTGTTGACCAGCTGCCGTTGCTTCAGAGAGATTACCTGACGTCACTGGAACCGAGAAGAGAACTCGACTGGTGATAGAAGGTTTCAGTATCGGGTTGTCATATTCTGAAACAAAGAAAGAAAAAGGAGGATAATGTACTAATATGCCACATCAAAAATACCCGTAACATAATGCATTTAGAGAGTATTCGTTTGGCCATGGTGCTCTGATGGTGTAGTCGTTAATGCCAGCAAAAAGACAATAGGGGATCTCAGAAAAGTTGCACAATGAACCATCCGAATATTTTCACTCTAACACCTCGCCTTAACCACCACATAGTTTATAATAAAACGGTGCAAGACGCACATTACGTAGGTGGTTGCAATCTATTTTTCAAGTAGTTATAATAGATTTAGAATTGCTGCAAATCCCTGCTTGTACCACCCCTATGGCTACAAAAATGGAAGTGCACTTTTTTTAAATTAGAAACTTCTAGAGAGTTGTTTTTCCAGGGCTTGCAAATTGAACTACATCCCTATCAATAAAAAGTATCCATCGGCACTTTGCAGGTTTCTTAAAATAAGTTAAAGTATCCAAAATCTGGCAAAGGACAATAATCACGACCGAGTTCAAGAAAAAATTTACTACCACATGTTATATCGTTGTAAGTACTTGCAAGCCCATTTACATTAGTAATGAACACTGCTGGCATCGATTTTTAATATCTACTTGAGCGCCTTGATGTGCTTTCTCTTAATTAATCGCATCGATTTCTTCCCTAATTAACTACCTTATTGGCAGACATTTCTGGTCAAATTCATATTTTAAGCCAAAAACTCTATCTAAGCAACAAAAGAAATGTATTCTCAAGCTAAGTTTGATAATGATAAATCGTAAAGTGCTGACAATAGAGGGGGAACAAAAAAATTAGAAGTAAACAGGGAACAGGGAAATTTTGATAATTTATAGGACAACACCCACCTAAACTATTAGAGTAAAGTTTTTAATTAAATATATGCTGAATATGTTCTGATGTAAATGAAGGCATAAATAACAGAAATACATGAGTACTGAATACAGCGAGAAGTTATGCAACAAAAAAGTTAACTATTTCGACTAATTAAAGTAATTTAATACATTTATGCAATTAAAGAAATAATGAACTAGAGAACTCAGTTATTTACAATTATGATAAATAGGAAAAGGAAGGCTAAATAAGAATACGAATAAGTGCATACAAAACGATGCAGCTGGGACAAATCAGAGGAACTTCGATTGAGACAATCAATAGTGAGTAGAATGTTTAAAAAAGAGATAAAATAACCATGAAAAAAGCATATTTACTGAAGACGATGTATGACTTTATAAGTTGTACTCACCAGAGGCTATAGCAACGACACTGGAGGGGCTACTCAATTGGCCGAACGGAATGACAGAACAATTTATGGCAAAAAGGCAGGCCAAGATGAAGAGACTTGTGGTGACTTTCTTACGTACTCCACAAGAGAGTGTGACGTTGCTTCCGCTACTACCTATAACAGGAAGGAAACGAGAGCCGCTCCCAAGGAGACTAACGCCACCGGTGTTGCCAGTGATGGGTTTCTGGAGGACAATACGATCTGTCGGGTGTTGCGATTTTCTCAGAAGAGAGATTTTACTTGTGACTAGAGGGTAAATGAAAAAGATGTTAAAGTAAGCTTCACAATATGCAAACGAAATGTTACTACCCTAAACTGACTGTATCGCTACTTAATAGTACATTTAATTAAAAAGCAGGTAATTATTTGCCATTCTTGCAAGTGAATGCATGGCAATAGGAAGGATATAGGAAAATTTAGCTTATGAGATTATCGAATCTAATTTGTTCACTAATCTGACCGTTTTCACATTTGATTTGACCATCGCTTTAAAAATTGGACAGCACCAATTCACTATAATTTATTGACTACAAGTTAGAAAAATATGAGCATTCGTGAAGTGGTGCTACTCAAGCCCCACCAGCATGGGATGTCTTAGAATCTCTCTCAACAGTAGAAATAAACGAATACTTATAACAGTGGAATTTTTGCATAGTCCAGGGCAAAAACAGAATAGTATGCAACAATAAACCAAGAAATATCACTCCTACGTCTATAGACATAGTCTTTATCACTAAGTACCAGTTGAAAGTGACTCCATTGGCCGACGACTGAGCAAATTTAATTTAATTTAATCGCTTGTACCATTAGCTTTATAAATCAAACAGATGTTCATCTTTCATCGCGGAATTTACGATGGGAACAGTAAAGCAGTCCAATATGGGTTAACAGAAATGGTGTCAAACGAAATCTGAAAATATTATCCGAGATTTGGTTTTTTATTCAACTTGCACACGAGTATAGTTTATTGTCCTATGCTCAAATCTTGCAAAGTCCAAATAATAGGAGTTTGCAAATGAACCCACGCCCGTGAAATTCACTTGTGGATTAATGTAGACGACTGATTATGGCATTTCAATATTTCTTTCCGATTGGCTAATATATAAGAAGTTAGAACCAAGCTCATTAAGATGACTATACTTGCCTTAATTATCTTGAGTTCAGGTTCTCAACTATCTTGATTTGGCATACTCAAAGGCTTCACAGTTTAACAGTAGTTTAGGTATCTAATTATCCTTTCACATGCTTGGCGAATAAGGAGCAAAAAATCAGGCGGAATAGACACATTCATCCAATGTTGCGATAAGATAAAAGTCAAAACTTGACAAATAACAGAAAATGACTGGAAAATTGCAAAAAAATCGCAAAATTTGAGTTAAATGTACTTCTAACCGTATACTAGGTAGTACAGTGGAAAGGTTTAAAAGAAACCGATAATAAGGAGCAGCCAGACTATCTACTGAAAATATCACATTACAAGCAGTTAGTTAGCTCATCTCTATTAATATGAGCTTAAATCTTAGGTAGTCAAAGGAATTAATTGCTTTGCTATCTGTGAAAGTTAAGGAATAGAAAAGGGTCAGATAACAAAGGAATCTGCTGTAACACGCTCCAACAAAAGTCATTATAACTCACTTGGCATGAATTGCACTGGGGTAAGATGTATGGCAAAAAGTTAAGGTGATTAGTCTACCCGCATAGGTCAAACCCAATTTAAGCCTTTATTCACCTGATATGACCTCAATGTGCAGGCACAGTTTCTAATTCAGAAACCTGTTCACTCATCCGTTTACAACTTACGCGAACAATCAACCATCGATGAGTAACTCGCATTCCGCCATTCCTCTTATTGGCCAGAATTAACTAGTGTGGTGACCAACTAAATCACTGGATAAGCATATATTTCGTAACCTCAGTCTGGTCAGACGCTCACGTTGACCGCTGCGTCGAATGTACTTATTGTATCATATAAATGATCTTCCCATTGGTCTGCATAATCTTTACATTGAGTCGATTATTACCCAACGTACAAGTTATTCTGTTACTCACTGATCTTTTCCCTTTTGAGACATTTTCGAAATAAGATTCAGTCTCACTAAGACCAACCCAACAAATCCAAAATGTATTGGCACCAATCTATTATAAGGTCCATCATAAAATCCATTTAGACCATACCATCCTATTAGGTTATGACTTCTTTTCTCACATATCTTGGTTGTCAGAGCTATACTACACCAAAGCGGTTTCGAGCCTTAGGCATTAGCGGAAACATAAAACAACACGAAGTTGTGAAGCCAGTGGACTAAACTCCCTACCATTAGAGAAACGAGAAGATGAAGTGGTGGAGAGAAGAGATTGCTGGAGTGGTAGTGCCGACGTTTGTTGTTTAGAAGACTTTGGCAGAACGCCATGTTCTGCTGTGGTAGCGGAAGGCGAAAGAAGCGAAGATTGATTCAAGGAGGAGGAGCTCGAAGAGTCCCCACTACTTCCACCTGAGCTCGTCTGCGATACTCGACAAAGGCTCGCATATTCAGCCTGAAATAGGAAGCCGAAAATCACATCGTAACCATTGATAACTATTACTTTTAAATTATTCGACTCCTTTACATGCTCGTAATTAATTCTTTAGAGTGGGAAAAGTGCCCATCAAAAGAGTGCAAACAACTATCTTAAAGGTACAAGGCTTCCTCCGTAATAAACTAGCTTTCGAAATAAGTAACTGGGAATACACAGAGGAAAATTAAACTTTATTCTTAAATGAGGCAATGAAGAAAATTACAACAAATCAGGCAACTAGACTGTGCGCTTCCACCGAGCCAATCATTTTTAATTACCTCAAACCTAGAGCATACAAATTATGGATTGATAAATAACCTAGTTACGTATCAATAAACCCAATACTTATTCGTGAAATCAGAGTGATTTTATGACCATCCTACTTACTATTAGTATAAGGTTTGCTGTAAGGAAAATCCTTTCTTAGAGAAAAATAATAATCCAAGTTGTCAGTTGATAATGATACATAATCGCCCATAAAGAAAGCCTTGAAAATCAACGAACTGTTCCTTCATTAATCATAGAACTGAGATTTTTTTCCAGGGCACGAGAAAAGAAGCGAGTTTACCTATTTTTAGCGAAAGTCACAAGGAAATGAAAAAGTTATCTCCCCTCCCCCATTAGAAAAAATATTTTCACGAACGAAGCTATGCTACTTTTAGGCTCAGAAGGAATTATAAGCGACTGAAAATTTTGTGCAAATGAAAGCCTTAACAACTGAAGAGGTAAAACTCACTTGAAGATCACCGAGAGACTTCTCCAGAATGTCGTATTTATTTCGCCATTCATTATTTTCCTGTCGCAGGTGGGCATTCTCCTGTCTCAATTGATCCAGCCTTATTTCCAACCGTTCCAGATACTGCAAAAAAGAAAAAATGAGCACATCAAACACATAAGCAGGTGTTCTTTACTAGGCGAAGCTTAGAAAAGACCAAAACAGTTCAAATACCGAATGATTAACTTAGATGTATTTCCCAAATTAACGACTGGCTGGTAAACTATATTATCTTGGCAAGAGCTGGTTCCCATCGCTCGCAAGCCCTTAGAAACTATCTTGGGTGTGCGATAGACTTACCTCCAAGTGATGCACCCTGGGCAACGTATACTCATACAGCAAAAAAGTCTATTAACTGGCAGTTGACTTCTAACTTCAAACTACAGTCACCCCACTCTGTCATATTTGACGACTTCCACAGTACTCACCTCACCTTACCTTTTTCTCCTTTACATCTGTGAATCACTCTTTTGTCCCCCCCCCCCCCCCCCCCCCAAAAAGAAACTA